TGTTTTTTTTTTTTAAAGTAGAGTTTCCCATTACATTCCTTGTAGTACTGATGTATATGGTGGACACACTCTAAGAAGGTTATTCAGAGATGTTGTGAGGTTTCAGGTACTGGGATAGTAAATTTACAAACTCATTCTATAATATACTCGTATTTAAATATTACGCTTCCTTTTAACAGGGCGTTCGAACGAAGATAAGCCCGTGTCCCAAGAATCTGAATGGAACTTCAGTATGTCCAGTGCTTGCTTATTTCTCTATATGGCATTCTACTTTTTTCAAGTCCTATTTTTATTTATTTCATTTTTTTTTAAAATTTTGTCTATTTTCTCAGTGCTTTTTCCCTCAAAATCTAATTGCACACATCAAAACCCCTCTGTTCATTTTGAATGCGGCCTACGATACATGGCAGGTGGGAAATGATTTGGCTCGGAACTAAAACTAAAAAAGGAAATCAGAAAATAGAATAAAAATAAATCTTGTCTAAAATTTTCAGTCTGTTTACAGATACAAGAAAGCTTGGCTCCTCGAGCTGCTGATCATAATAACCAATGGCACAACTGTTCGAGCAATATTGAACTATGTTCGAAATTACAGATAAATTTTCTGAAAAAAAAAAAAAAAAAACTCGGTACTTGATCATGTTCAAGCTTTTGCTCCTGGCCTTTTTAACTTTTAAGCATGTTGTTGTTGTTGTTCATGCATTAATTTATGAAGCAGGTTTTAGGACAGAAATGGTCGGTGCAGTAAAGGACTTTGCACGCTCGAGTAAAAACGGGTTATTCATAAATTCTTGCTTTGCTCATGGCCAATCTGAGATGCAAGATACTTGGTTTGCCCAAAATTCTCCCACTATTAACAACAAGGTAATTAATTAAGCCTACATTTCNAGTCTGTAGCTTATTTAATTGTGTATTATAAATTTCGGGTAAAATCCACAGCGAATTGCAAGTGCTGTTGGAGATTGGTACTTTGAACGAACGAGAAGCTGCAAAGCTATCGACTGTGAGGATTGCAACAGAACATGTCACAACATGATATTCAAGTAGGATGTTGTTTTTCAATTATATTATAAGATTAAAATCATTAATATATTACATTGTGACTAAATGATTCAGCTCAAGTTAATGGCTGAGTGTTGGAGCAAAATAGTTTTACCTAATTGTGGAGAAAATGAAACTTTGATGTACTCTGAAGTTATAATCTCTTTTTAAAGAAAATGAAATCCAGTTTATTCATTAAACAAGCCTTTAGTTATTTAGAGTTTCAAATAATGGAATTTGGTTATGTTTGTGCCTGCCATGGTGTCTTCTTGTTGATATTTATATTTTATCAGCAATTAATATATGGAAGAATGAATCCAGTGCATGTATGCTAACAGTTGTATACAAGATAAAACCCAGTTTTGGGAACATTTGCCATAAACCTGGATATTAAATGGGGGAAATTCCATAATGATGCTCAATTATTTGAAATTGTATCGGTCTAAGGCTTGAATTTTGTTCTTGCTTAATATATTCACAACTTATAAGGTTTACTTTTTCGATTTACTTCTTATTATAAGATCCAACTAGTTTTATTTTTTGACATAAATATATGAACCAACTAACTTTATTTTATGATATAGTTATGTGAACAAAAAATATATTATTATTTTTTCTGTAATTTATATTTTATATACACAGAGTAAAAAAATAATAAAAATCTTTAGTAATATTGCCTTAGTAAGAAAATGGTATCCAATTAATTAATTAAACAGCATTTAATTTGGAGTCCCAAATTATGGAATTTGGTTGTGTTTGTGCCTGCCATGCTGTCTTCTTGTTGATATTTTTGTATTTCTCAGCAATTGATATATGCAAGAATGAATCCAGTGCATGTATGCTAATAGTTGTATACAAGATAAAACCCAGGTTTGGGAACATTTGTCATAAACCTGGATATTAATTGGGGGAAATTATATTATGAGGCTCAATTATTTGAAATTGTATCAATTTAAGGCCTGAATTTTGATCTTGCTTAATAAGTACAAGGTTTACATTTTAGGTTATTCACATCTCAAGACTTATTTTTTTAGTTAACTTCTCATTATAAGATCCAACTAATTTTATTTTTTGACATAAATATATGAACCAACTAACTTTATTTTATGATATAGTTATGTGAACAAAAAAAATATTATTATTTTTCTGTAATTTATATTTTATGTACAAACAGTAAAAAATAATAAGTATCTTTAGTAATATTGCCTTAATAAGAAATTGAAACTATATGAATAACGATTATTTTTAAAAATTGATAAGTGAAATTGAAAAATATGTTATTAAATTATTATTTTATTAATAATATAAATATTTAACAAAAACAAAAAATAATATTTAAATAATGTTGCCTTCATTTTAGCTTTTCAGGATTTTAATTTTTATTTTTAGATGTAGAAGTTGATACCTTACCATTGTTGCTGATATGTTTTTGTAGATTGTATTTAAATACTATTTTTTAGTTTATTAGATATTTATATTATTTTATAAAANACAAAAACCACATAATTACAGCTAGAATACAATTAGAAAGCAAAACATCCAAACAGATGAATCCAAGAGGCCTACACGAAGATAGCCTAGAAGCAACTACACTAACGTACCCACATCACAACTATACAGCTCCCAACAGAAGAGTAACACAAAACACGCTCTCAACGGGAGAATACACGCTCCCAACAGGAGAAAAAATAACACTACAAAACCACCACACAGCTCCCCAAAGGAGATAAAAAACAACCCAAAACACAACAACAAACCACAAAAACAACACCAAACACACAAACCAAAACAAACTAAACTAAATATAAGTAACACCCAAAACCCTCCCCCAGAAGACAAGTCAAGCCCAACACGATGCACCCGCAAAACCCAAGTCGACCACCCAATAGACTAGCCCGAAATCTAAGAACCGGCTCCCGAAATTGCCTAACACCTAACTGAAGCCGAAACTATAGATTCCGACCCACTCCAGAAAGACGAAACTCGACCGACAGCCGGAAGAGCAGCCACCCATATCCCCTCACACCACCACAACCCCAGACCCAACCAACACCACTGGCCAAGGTCCGACAGCTTAGTACCTTCATGAAGAAGCTGAGAGGGGTTGGGGTTAGCTTAGTACCTTCGTGAAAAAGGCACGACCACTAATTGAAGGCGGGACGGCCTCTGAGGAAGCCGATTGAAATACGCCGAGGAGGGGATATGGAGACACTTTCTCCCATAGCCAGGGACGGACCTGCATTAGGTCGGGCCCCCCTCAATTTT